ACGAAAGCCGTCTTCGACGATTACGCTGGCGAGCTGCACCCGGATGAGTACAGAGGATTTCTTTCAAAGCTGAAAGATCGAAAGTTCTCTCATCTCGTGTTCGCGCTTCGCCACCCCCTTGGGGTAAAGTTATTTGAATAAAAAGTGCGCGCTGTGTATAGCCGCGTGCAATGTCTGCAGAGGACGAGTTGCAGGAGGTTATGCACCTTCTTGAAACAGAGCCAGCACCGTCGAGTGGTCCAGGAGGCGGTCTTGTTCCAACCGCACCCGACATTCCTGCTCTTCGCGAGCAGCTGGCTGTTCTCGTGTCAACAGGCAAAGCCAAAGAGGCCATCGGGACGCAGCTGACCCACGATCAGGTCAAGCGTTTGAGCGACAAAGATGTCGAGAAATACATCAAACGCTACGAGACGTACGTGGGCTCGAAGACGAGGGAAAGCCTGATCGACAGCTTCCTTTTTCTTGCAACCAAAGCGGTCGGAATGACCGTCAAAATCAAAGACGTCGAGGCTTACCAAAAAGAGCTGAGAGACGACTACATCTTGAACAAAGAGCTCTCCAATCTGGCCGGCAACCTGGCTTTGAAGTGCGGCAGGTTTCTTGCCGCTGTCAACGCGGTGTTCATCACCCCGAAACATATTGATTTTAGTCCACAGTCGCCAGTTCAGAGCCATCCTTCTCGTGATGAACACGGCTATCCGCTTTCAGGCGTTGATGAAGTGCCCGACTCAGCAACTGTTGAATAACTCGCCACCATTCATCAACAACGCTGAGGTCTTGCTGACAAATTATTGACAATTAAACTTTTTTCATTTGCTTAAAATACAGTTCGCTGCAATGTCAACCGAACAATCCGAGAGCACGCCTTCCGCCGTCACTGAGAACAAGGCAGCGCCTTCCGCCGTCACTGAGACCAAGGCAAGTGACGACTCGGCAAGTGACGACTCCGGCTGCAACCACGCAGCGCGTAAAAAACCCCAAGCGCGTGGCCGCTGGAAAAATTGTTGCTGAAAGAACCCGTCTGGCCCGAGAAGAACAGAAGAAAGCAGCCCAGGCTCATTACGCAGAAAAGCAAGAGGAAGCCGCCACAGCGGCCCCTGAGCCATCCGCGTCTACAGAAGGTGAAAGCCCCAAGAGCGGCGGCCTTTTTGGCCTCAGCACCAACCAATGGATTGGTATTAGCGGCATTGGCGTTTCCCTGGGCGGGCTATATTACAAGCGTGAAGAGCTCATGGCTATGGCCAACGCCGCATTTGACAAAATTAGAACGCCGAAGCCCGCGCCTGAGCCCGCTCCTGAGCCAAAACCTGCTCGCGATACACGGCCAAGAGCATTAAAAAAAATGATTTAAATGTTTGCGCGTGATGAATATCTCACGATGAAGATCCCAAGCATTGCGCAGGTTCTGATCTATACAGCAGCAATCGGAGGGATTGGGCTTTTTTGGTCCGATTTTACCATCAAGACTTGGAATATGGTGAACCGTCTTACCGCTGAAATGTTTGTTGAAGAGGGAGAATTCGCGGAAGAATAACAAGAAGAAGAAGCTGAAAGACAGGTCCCCAATTAATTTTGTTTTAAACTTTCGCTCTTTCCTTATCAAGCGCGCCATGTCAGACAACAAGCTTGTCAAGACCGTCATTGACGCCGCAACTATCACGGGATTAGCCGCGGGCATCGGCTGGGCCGCGAAAAAGGTTGTGAAAGAGAATTTCACTTCCGATCCCAGCAGCAGCTTCATGAATTACATGAAGTTCACCGTCGTCGTGGCGGGCAGCATTGCGCTAAAAGGGTACCTTGAGGACAAGAAAATCCTCCCCGCCAGCATTTGAAACAATCTTCCGATAATATATACCATGGCGAGCATCGCTATCATGATTGGCGGGGCTGTGTTGAACGCCACTGCTTTTATCAGCGGCAATTATCTGGCGAGGGCGCTCGGCGGGGGCGGCAAAGCCGCGCTTGAAGAAAAAAAGCGCCACGACAAGGCTCTCGAAGATTATCAAGCCGCT